GGGCTGAAAATGAGACAGGCGATTGATCATGATTCGTGACTGCCCTATTTCGTAAGTTCATCGGGGGGGGGGGGTCGTGCTCTTCTGAGAACGCCTCGGATGCGGAGAACAACAAACCGAGGAAAGTGACGGATCAGTGCGTAGAGTGGGTATGTTGTGTTGGAGCATGTAAACAGCTTGTTAGAAAATCCTCAGAATCCAAATGACGACTCTTCCTGGATATTATTAGTGGTTCCTAAAAGCATCAGAGGGACACGGCGGGTCAAATTAGATTTGTTTTGTGTTTTTGTGAGGAAAATGTATTTATTATATTTCTTTTTTTTTTGTTGTTGAGCTTTTAGGAAGTACAGTGTTTTCAATAAAGTTCAGTGGAGTTTTAAAGCACGAGCTGTGAATGTGGGGTGGGGGGTCAACAAAAGTCTCGTTTACAAAGAGAGGCGCTGCAGAAAAGAGCCAAGACTGGATTGGGTTACATCATACTCCCCTGCATATCTGGCTGGAGGTTGTGATCTCTAATGATCCTTCTCTTCCACGATACATCCCCGACAATTAAAATGAAAAGAGAGATGAAAAAAAATAAAAAAATAAAAATGAAAGAGGCCTGGCCTTGAATAGTGTGATATTTTCAAAGCACCATGAAAAGCCAGAACACAGCATCCAACGAGCTTCAATGAAAAGCTAATTTTTAAAAAAACAAACAAAAAAAAAAACCCTTTTTGCACTTAATACATTTCAGTAAGGCTACAAATACAGGGCATGACACTAACCGTATGTTGAAAGAAAATGTTGGGTTGAACCTTCAGTCAAACTTTGCAGCAAGCTGTTTAATGGGATTTATTATGAAACGCGTTGTTGAAAAAGAAACAAGTGATTGGAAGTTACACTGTTACATTGAGAATGTGGGATTATAGCACAGCGGAACCTCGAGATACGGGCACGCTTACAGACGCCGACGCTAGGTGTTTGTTGACTTCCGTACGCAATACAAATCGGAAAAAAAAAATAGAAAATAGGAAAGTAGTAAAACAAACGTAAGTTATTTCTAAGTTTATGTAAGTTACGTAGTGTACGTGTAAGGTACGGAATCAAGTGTCTACGTACGGGCCGACTCTCTTCCCTCCCTTCCTCCGCACATGCCGCCATTAGCCGCTACCGTATCGTCTGCCTCGAAGGTAAGAACTCATAATTAAAACCACATTTTATTTTATATCACAGGAATCTTTATAAAATTGAATTTTCAATTCTTATTAGCACTAATAAGCGTCCGGAACAAATTCTTTTTTTTTTTTTTTCTGTTATTTCTTATGGAAAAAAAAATGATTCGAGATACGAGCACCTCGAGTTACGAGCTCGGTCCTGGAACGGATTTTGCTCGTATCTCGAGGTTCCACTGCATTAGTGTTTTCTTCAGCATCCAAATTCTGGTCGTCCTCCAGAGACAACAGTCTGGTCGTTAATGGGAAAAAGTCAGAATAAGACCTTCATCTTCCTTAATCACAGTAAAAATCACCGTCCTGAAAATGAAAGATCAAAGGATTTCTGTGAGCAGACATACGCCATCTCCTTCGGTAAATGCATGAAACATCATCTAATTAGAGCTAACGTCAAATTTTTAGTTCACGTAAAAAAGACAGAAATACGTACAGTTGTCGGGATTTTAACAGTCTCTGTGGTAAACTTGTGCGTCTCCTTCACCACAGTTGCGGGGAAGTATCCCATAATGCCGATCTGGTCCACGTAGCGGTGACCATAAACCTGCAAGTGAGAATAACAGATACACTGTATGATAATATACATCAAATCAAACATGTTCTATTTGTGTAATTGACTACATATGGCACTACTACGTTTTAATTTCAGATTTAATCATTGATGACAAAAGGTTAACTCTGCAGTACAGCCTCATAAAAAAAAAAAAAAAAAAAAAAAAAAAATTTTTCAAAATCCCCTCCCACACCAAAACACCCCCCCCCCCCCCCCTCCCCCCCATTTATAAAACCATCTGCCCCTTCCTGATGTTGATAAATCTGCAGTCCGGAGCGATGAAGTCATTCAAGGCCGTGGCCAAGGAGAGCACATCTGGTGTAAAAACAAAAAAAAAAAAAAAAAGAAAATCAATATTAAAAATTTGACTACATCGCACTTGTGAAACTATTTCCACATCCCGACTTACATGAGCACTCCACATCTCCACAGATCTTGTTGTCGGCCAGTTTGTCCATCACAGCGCTGTGTCCAGTCTGGCTCCACAGTCCCACAAAGAGCAGCAGCAGCAGCAGGGGAGGATAAGGCATGGTAACGATATGACCGCGTGACCTGGG